TCCCCTCTTCAAAACTAATATTATTAAAAAAATTATGAAAATTTTATAACCGGAATAGCGGTCCATAACCTTCACTGTCCTGACACATTCCCCATCCAAGATTCCCCATGCTGCAAAGATTTCATCAAGGAGGGGAAGAACAAAAAGCCAATACATATCGAAGCCGCGATTGGCTCCTTGCGGTAAAGAAAACCCAGTCGATCGTAATGTGACGGGAAATACAATGATGGGGAGGAAGACAGGGAAAGCTTACTAGGTTTCTCGGGCTTTCCGTTGGCCCACTTGGAGATGGTGAAGTGGACCTTCTCCCTTGACGCCGCCTCCGACTTGTAGGGTTCTTTGAGGCAGCCTCGAACAAGCGATGCACAGATGTTGGAGTAGGTTATGTAGGTCATCCCTGCCGCTCTCCAAAACGGTACCGCCGCCGTCGACGCCATCGTCGCCTTGACTTTCCTTTCTCGCTCGCTCGTTGCTCGATCTACTTTCCTTCCTGGACAGCTGGACTGTTAGAAATTTTGTAGCATTAGCGAATATTCCAGGTCATTTGAGTAATTGATCATCTACTGTAAAGGCTAAGGTTCATATAATATAAGTTTTAATATAATCAATTAATCATCACTCATTCCAACATCAATTGACCCAAGTCAAAATAAGAAGAAAATGCAAAAAGAACTATATATTTATAAATGAATAAGATTTGAACACTAAAGTTTCATTTGGGGCATTTTTTTTTATTGTTTCTTAATATAATCTTAATATAATCAATTAACTCCCTTCGACGTCATTTTTCTAGTGGTAATCTCCTTCCTTACAGGGTTCGTCTTTCTCCGCTAAAGCCTAAGAGTGGAAGAGTGAGAAGGAGCTCAAGGTGAACTTCTCGTTATTAAGTGTTGGGTTTTATTATGAGCATGTAAAATATACTATTGTTTTGAATTTTTGATTAAATTGTTTGGCTAATCTCAATAGAACTTCTTTGTCTAAGCAAGTTAAAAATCTTGAATCTCTCTTTATTGCAAGCAATAATTCTATATTGGCACGTTTTGGTCAATTAATCTTTATAATTTCTCAAGTAATTCCTACATATTTCACATCAGTAAGTCATAGACGAAAACAACACTAATAGGGGGAAAATACAAGTTGTTAATTCTAAAAACATGACACACTTCTCTTTGATTTCAAAATTTTTGAAAGAATCAATGCCTCCAAAGTCATACAAACTTCTCTATGATTCCAAAATTTTTG